CATTCCAGGGTCAAGGGTACTCAACACATGAAGATGAGCAGGAACGGTACAAAGGATGTACCTGGCTCAGTTGGGCACGCTCGGCCGACTCGAGCTAGCCCCTTGTACATCCCAGTGTTGACGCTCAAGGTACGAAGTTTTTGATAGGAACCCGTATACAAGCTTTACATATTCCATGTATATATATATATAGAGAGAGAGAGAGAGAGAGCGAGCGAGAGAGAGAGAGAGAGATGTGTCTGCACGAATTCGTAATATCGACGCCCCGGTCACATGCATACCTCACACGCTGACCCTGTACCCAAGATTAGACAGGGATCTCAAGAGCTCTTGGGCCAAATCAGGTTCACACTGCTGCTACTGCCCGGAGCTCAGGAATCTTGAGGTTGCGTTGTTTAGGTTTTGCTGCTTCTGTCCTTCGAAAGCAAGAACTCACCGGCGCTGTTTTTGCTGAGGCTACTCAAGTCATGATGCCGAAGTGACATTCTTCTTGTTGTCCACTACGTTCCCGGTCCATGTACCTCCGCGTCCAGACCTATGCCTAACCTTGCACGCGTTATTTACATGTAATTTTGTTCCGCATGTGCTTTTCAAACAGTTGTTTCACCCAGGCCGCTCGCCGTACCGTCCGTTGAGAAGCGGCGACGCAGCAGCGTTGAGTTGAGATCGGCATGTTGAGCTGTTGGCATGCGGGGGTAAGTGATGTGGAGCATGTTGACTGGTAGCTTCTTGAATATTGTCCTCATAACAATGAAGAACCTACCCATGTTGAGAGCACTGAGTAGGGCTCTTACAGAGGCAAGCTAAGGGCTCAACTCGCAGATGCTTGGCCAGTGTGAGCTTCTGACACGGCACAAGCCTCGATATGAATCCTAAGAGAGGGGCGAGTCTTACCCAGACTACATGGCTACATAGCACCCGAGTCTACCAAGAGGCTTGGCCAACTTTCTGCAGGACGTGTTCAAATCCCAGCAGCGACAAGCCAGCAAGCCCGTCCAGCGGCGTAACCCCACCGTTGCCCATGACATAAACAGCAAGCATGACAAGGATACACATGATACTTGAAATTGTACGTATTGATGGCAGAAACAACTACTGCTGCCAGTGCTGCTCGCAGTTTTTAAAGTTATCCTACCACCCGAAGCACCGCATCATTCCCCCATTTGTGGTTGTGGAGCAGGAGCCACAGTGGGCGAGACGAAACCTAGATGAGCCCAATGATGTCGCTTTTCCTTGTTTGCATGACTGAAGGTTGTAGTGTACCAGACGTTTACTTGAAGACTCCGAGTCCAGACTTGCTTCACCGTTGTCATCATCACGAATCTGTGGCAATCTAGCTTTATCCTTGCAGCTGCATGCCTTTTCATGCGGTTAGCTTGATTTGTTCAGGGCAACACAGAAAAACTAGCAGAGTGAGGGACATGATTTTATCCCAAAACAGACGTCAAGAGTCCTTGAAGATATTATGGTGGAGTCTTGTTTGTGGCAGACGTGTATTTTTGTCAGTTGTAATCATTTCTTAGGAAATGGAAGAGAGAACTCACGGATTTGAATCATGCATCCCAGATGGAGCATCACTGCAACACTGCTGTGAGCTCCAGAAGCAGATGATTTCTGGCTCGCTGTGGCATTTCGTGGATCATGGACAGGTTCTATGCCACGTGCTTGGTTGAAATAACTTTCGAAGCTGGCGCCAGAAACATCCCAAGCTGTCAGTCCCAGACCCAGGCCACACAGCTTATTGTCTTACATCATAAGCCTTGGAGCCCGAAGCCCCAAGATTGCCCAACCGTGGTCCAATGTGATGTTTGGTAGCTCTCTCAGGTAAAACGTTTTGCGCAGGCAGGTGAGTATCATCCTAAGTATGACGTCCCGCAACGCATGCGTGATAAACAGAAATCTTCCTTAACTGCTGCACCGAACCCGAAGTGCTCCGAGCGTCGTTAAATCTCAATGGCCCACGTGGCTCAACGTTTCACCCAGATGGTCTCGCCTAGAAATCCGGCCAACTTCTAGCTCTCCACGAGATGAAAAGCATCTTTGATGCTGAGCTGCAACCCCCAGTATCCCAATTCCATCAATCAATCCACTGCGTCCTCCAAAACCAAGGGCAGTGATGTGAAATTCCCCAAAAGGCTTCAGAGGCGTAGACCATTTGAGACGAGCTTAGGCGTGAAGCCGCTTTGCAATCGTCGCAGGTTTGCTGAAGTCATGGAGAAACAGGTTTTGGGGTCTGGGACTTTAAGCGTAGGGTTAGGCATAAGGGATTAGTGTTCAAGATTTAGGGTTGGTTGGGTTCAGGGTTTAGGATCTGCGGATTCGGGAAAGCGTCTTTGATGTGAATTTGTGTCTGAAAGAGCTCCGGACAGGGAATTCTTGAAGAACATGAGGATGAAGCGGATAGCAAGCATACAAATCACCCAGCGGTTTTAGTGAGCGTATGCAAGGCTTGTCTATCACAATCAGTCAGAACCCCAAACTTGCTGGGGTGTTCAGCATGGAACGGATGAATGGCTCCACATACTGGCCCCCTAAAGTAGTCCAAAAACCCATCTTTCATTCACTACCAGCCGCCCGACAGCAAGCCTTAGCCCAGGATCTTCAACCCTGTCCCTCAATCCTACGCTCCAAGGTTCAAAATCTGAAATCACAAGTCTTACATGATGCTCTGTACTTGATGCAAAAGCTTGTTTTCCAGCACGGATCTTCGAATTAGCCTTAAGTAGAAGTCCAGAAAAGCTCAGCAACCCATGCGGAGGGAGGCTCACCGCGATTAACAACAACTTTCGGAGGTTGCGACCGCTGGCGGGTGGTTATCGTATGTATCATTGTGCGAGGCTAGGCTAGGTGTAGGATTTGGAGTATGAGTAGCATTACAGGTAGGCATGGAAGTGGGAGGAGTAGAAGGAGGAGAGGAGCAACAGCATTTGCCATGGTGTTGGTGGCAATAGTGGTAGTGCAGCAGGTGATACACAGCTCTTGCCGGGAGTGTCTTGAGAGCCTTACACCTACCTGACACTGCCCGTGCAGACAGAAGTAAAGTCCTCAAAGGCTGAAGCTCTCCTGGCGTACCTTGCAAAGGCCTGTGAACTCTGGGGGCTATATAGGGTTATCTTGGGTTTATATTGGGGTTGTATCGAGATAATGGAAAAAATGGAAGCTACTATTTAGCTCTGACACGCAGCATCTAGCGCTACCAGAAAGACGATTTTTCAGTTTAATTAGCTTACACAAAGTCTTGCAGAGCAGGGCTCTCAAGCACTGCAGATTATAGTTTACAGGTCGTTGCATGTGCTCTTCACAGTTTTGTTCTTCGAGAACCTACCTGAAACAGTGCCCCTGGGATATCCTGGGATACAGAAAGATTCCTATACTAGTTTGACTGGATTCTCGCAAATAATGCTTGATAGTTGCAACCACCCGCATTGTGAATGGTCGCAGCCCAGCCAATGCGTCTTTCCGAATTCGCCGTCCTCTCCCCGCGTGAAAAGGTGTGGGGAGGCATGATCTGCCCTTAGATGAGCCCGGCCAGAACACCTAGCCCATGGCCAACCCGCATGGCTAAGGAGGTCGATTGCAACCTTGCTGTAACCACCAAGCTTCATAGCAGTATTAGGACTCGGGTTTGGGCCACGCCGCGGCGAACGGATTGCCATGGAGTCATAGAGATATCGGATGGAGGTCGCAGAACGCATCCGAAAAGGAGTGTGAAATGCAGGAGCGGCCAGGCCTTTCATATGCGACAATAGGATAACGCGCGGCTCCTTTTGATGACGATTGCTTTTCACAAAGGGGGGGAGGGAAACACAGTTCCTTCAAACAGAGTTCCTTTTTTCAGTAGCCGGCAATTCCTTCTAGCAGCCGCATGGAAGCCCCTTCTTGTCATATTCAGACATCCTGTATGGCTAGGGCTCAATGCAAGAAATCAAATTTCATTGGTGCTTGCGAGTTCTTCAGCACTCTGCCGTGACAAGTGTGCTTGATATCTGCTGCTCAAACCTGCAAGTAGGAAGGAGGTCACACGACTTCAATCTTGAGATGCCATTTCCTCTACACCTTTGCTCTGGATGCCTTTAAGTCCAATAGGGCCACAAAGGCCGGACTGCTGGAACTTACGCATTACGTCATGCGCCTTCCGACCTGCGCCCTTTTTGCCGAAGCATTCCTAGCTAAAGTTTTCAGCCCTAGCCCCAAGTCACAAGTTCTCTGCCCTTTCTCCAAAGTTCAGCCGCTTGCGCACCTTTGAGCCCTCGGTCTCTCTCTGTCTCTCTCTCTCTCTCTCGCTCACTCTCCATCCCACCTTCCCGCCGGCTGCCCCGATCAAAATGAACAAGAAAGCATACACTTCCAGCAACTTAAAGCAACCCTACTTCTCCTCACCCTGCGCCCTATACCCTGATCCCGAGCTCCCCGCCATCAATCGCTTGGTGCCTTTCGGCTCGGACGCAGCGGGCTCCTGCGGAACACACCGGCCGCCATCTGACTGGACTCGGGAGGCGGCTGGGCCTGGCTGACTTCAAGGGAGGTTCGCCCAATTTTGCCCTTGCAAAATCCCCGAAAAAAAAAGAAAAGAAAAAAATCATAAGTAAAAATTATAAGCTATTATCACTGTCTACATGGGCTTGGTTTGGGCTTTACACGGCTTCCAGTATCAGGTTTGGTGATTATCGTATTGGAAGTCCCCGCCGACGCCAGGTATGCTGTAGGTATGCTACGGAGCCGCTCCCTGTAGTGAAAGAACACAATCACTGGCACTTCGAACTTGCAATGCAGTTAGAACTGTTGCGTCATCTTTCAGCTCTTGGTTGAGACCTGCAGGCGGGAGCTAAGGGGATGAGAGACGTCAATGGGCACCCATGCGCGGACTTAGAGAGAAAGCTTGTGTGACAGACTCTTACCGACAATCCTGCATGCAAGTGCTTGCACCAGTGTTCCTATCCAAGTATAAATGCCTGGATGCGTTCCTGCTAGGAGTTTGGTGGCTTGAACTCTTCGGAGCCATGTCTGACAACGAATCAGAGTCAGGCCCTCGACTTTGCAGCAGCTAAGATTCCACAAGCATAGATGATATGCACGGCGGTTTGGCAAAGATTCTGTTATAGGTGCCAAGACAGCTAAACAATCGTAAAGCTGACAGCTGCCTGGAGAGTTTGCAGGCTCAAGCATTTTGTTGACAGCATGAGCAATCTTTTCAGCGCTGCTTCAAGTTCCTCGTTGTCATGAAGCACGGCTGATGTACAGCAGGTCAAGTGCCTGCACTTGCCACGCTTGATCAGTCCGTCTCTGCTCCCAGAGAGCCTTGTGCACCCCGAATTGGTGTAATCCCCATCATGGACCCCTACAGAGGGTTTAGGGTGAACGACATTTCGCGACCTTGGTACGTCATCATGGCTGCTGGAGACAGGTGACCGCAAACCAGGAACCACGGTGTGAATCCCTTCCTCTGTTGTCTAACATGGCACATGTACCCACACTTTCACAGTGCATCTGTGATCCCGCCCCATCTTTGGAAACCTGTAATCTGTGAGCCTGGAACTCCAACTCCGATGCTAATAGAGGTGCCGAACCCCCCTAGATTCCCACGGGGCAAGCTCCTGCCGCCACTAATGCTGCCACTCAGTTGCCGCCGCCACGAAACTGTTACCATGACAACGACAACCACAACGACTGATCATCTGCTGCTGCCTCCTGCTCGGCCTCCTGCTGCTCCTCCTCCTCCACTCCAACTTCTATGACTCCTACTCCTCCTCACAATAACCATATTACATCACCATTCTTGCTGGCAGCACTAGTTGTATCGGGAAGTTTTCTCGCTTCTTTGAACAGGTTTGGAAAAGCTGCAACTTGTTGCATCTACCCAAAGGAATCCTCAGTCTTCGCACTCTACCAAGAAAATTCAGTCAACAGCTTTCTGACAAAGAACATGGGATGTGTCCCAAGTAGACTCCAGCTTTGTCTTTACAACCCCAGAGTGGGGCACCCAGTGCTGACACCTCCATTTGATGACTGCCAAGGAATGAGGAAATCAGTGACCTTTCGAACCCTGATGCCGGGCGCCCCATCCTACTTGTTTCAAACCTCCTCAGCAGATAGTTTTTTTTTGTACTGTTGAAGCATCCGGCCGGATGTGTTCCAGGCGAATCGCATGTCTTGACTCAGAATACTTATTGTCCGCGGGTCATTCTGTATAGGATATTGGCATTTGTTTGAAGATGGGCACATAAACTGGGATGTCCGAAGGAGGACGCCAGGAGTTCACCTCAGGGAGTTTCCAACGCGCTTCGCCTCATATCAAACCATGCCCCGAACAGATGTGGCGCTTGCAGAATTGGCATACAACCGAAAAGATCATGGGCTGTGGGGGCTTGTAGGGTTGCTTGGAGAAACTGCCATCTTATCAAGCAGCGCATCTTAGTTGTTCCAGGTCTGTGCCAAAAGCATCTCAGCATCTCAATGGGGATCAGTCTGGGGGTTGGCTTTAAGGTTCAAGTTGTGGCGGGACCCGGGCTCTACACTTCATGTGGCTTTCCAGCTGCTTTGGTGTAGGGTAGAGGCTTCAAGCCCTGAGCCCTGGAGATTTTCCCCCCGAAAGTAGTATCTGAAGCTATCGAATCATGCAGTTTTGGTAAAGTAACACACGAGGACAACAAGACTGCAATGTAGGCGCGCCGTCTTTGTATCTTTGTTGACAAGAGTTGTTACAGCACTCGCATCACTGGCTTGCTACATTGGCATTGTTCTCGTCATTTCTCATGCGCTCGATCTTGTTGATGAGCTCAGGTCACTACGAAGTATCGGACGGCCGCAGATATCGTGAACAAGGACCGTGAGACGTTATCCTTGTCCTCAAAAGGCTTCAAAAGTAGGATGAAGGTAGGTGATGGGAAGTGGTGAGAAGGGGCGCTGCAAGCTTAGCTTCTTAGCTTTCCTGTTGGGGGTTCCTACTTCCTGTGCCCCAGCCGCTCTCATCCCGCCTTCGTGTCCTGTTATCCCGTATCCTCCTCCGTTGGGACTGCCCCGAAGAGTGGTCTTGTCGGGATGCGTGTTAGACTACGTATCGGCTGTAGTCGGGGAAGTGCTCCTGCATCCTGCATAAATGCCAAGTCATACCTGAACCTCTCAGAACCATGTAGATGCTAAGCTGAGCTCAAACGTTTTAGCTGTAGACTCGCAATTCATGGAGCCATTCTCGACTGCGACAAGAAGAGTCGTTCGGGATCCCGGCAGAAACGCATCAGCAAGGACTCCCTCAAAAAGCATGCAGAGCTTTTAATTGAAAGGATTGGATTGACAATCCATGGAAAGGCTTGTATTCAGTTGTTGAGGTCCTTTATGTGCAGCTCCTTCTCGCGAAGCCCATATGGAACTTAAATATCTGGCTTGCGCACGCTAGGAGCCACAAGATCATGTATGGACATTGTATTTCAAAGACGGGTGGACACTGGAACATGCCTTGCTGCCAAAGTGAGGCTAAAACCTATGATCACAGCAGCAGATTCAGGTCAAAGCCATCTGGGCAGTTCTCAAATTTTTCCCTATATAGCCCTAATAACAAAATCCTATAGGCTATAGACCTCTTACAACCCATGTATATAGAAGACCTGAAATCCTTCAGGATACCCTGTTTTGAGAAATATCCCTCTAGCAAATTCGCAGAACAGTCAATGCCAAGCCAAACAGAAACTCTGGATCCACCAGCTGCAGTTCAACGTGCAGGAACTTGCAATAGATCGTTACAACACCTCTAGGGGGTTTTAAAAGGTGGGTGGACGCTTGGGGACCTTGGGATGTATGGTGATTGGGGACACTTGGAGCAAAATTCCAGAATCCTGCAAGAAAGCCAAGCAACCAGCAGTCTTTTTGGTGCCGCCTCTTGTAAAATGTAGGGTACTGTCTCAATCCCTGTACAGATCTTTCAGACTATCAACCTACATCGTTCTTGTTTGTTTGAGGGGATGACACTAGCTGTTCAGCTGCTTCTTGCCGGTGCCACTACCACCACCATCGAGGCCACCGCCACCGCCACCATGACCATGGCATGACCACGGCATGACCACGGCCTCTGCCACAACTACGACACGGCCGTCACTATTAGCGATTCCTTTACAGCATGTTGCCATCAAGGGTACTGAGCAACTCCCGGCCAGGCACTGCAGAAAGTTGTAGACGCTTGTGTGCCGGATGCGGACATCGTGCACCTGGCGCATTACGGCCTGGTGGATTATCATACAGAACTTGTCAGAACAGGGGATGTTCTTCCGCATAGCTTCCAGCAACAGTTCACACAATCCTTGTGAATCAAACCTATCCTTGTAGTTAAAGTTCAAATAGTACTTCGCACAAGCATCTGAACAGTACTCAAACCCGATTACTCCGCCAAGTTGCTGCTTGCGGCAACAGTCGCTCCTGTCTTTGGTGCAGAGCCTTGGTTCGATGCTGATCGCTGTAGCCGTTGCCTGTGGCGTAGTGCTCTGAAATCTACTTCTCCAAAAACGTGTCGAATGGCTACCAAAGCTGTGACGGACTGCATTTGCATGGGCCATAGACGATAGGGAAGCTTTTTCTACAATTGAACCTGCTTGCTCATTTGCCACGGTTTGAACACAGGGCACCCTCATCAGAATCGTTTCGTGGGTCACGTTGAGGATTGATGGCCTGCAATATGCACCACACATGTTGCCGCAGTGAAGGCGTCTCCAAATCAAGCGCCCCTTCCTGACATCCCCTTGCCTTAGCACAGCCAGGCCCTATTGACAGCCATGTCGCATGCCAGGTCATGCTGTGCGACATGGGTGACAAGATTATGGAGGAAGAGCAGCAGCCTCAGCAGGGCAAGCTATTTCTGCTTCAAAGTGGGACGGGCGGTATTTCTCCAAGAGAGGGTTCTGCTGCAAGTATCTCCAATTTATGTTGTGCTATGTTGTGCTTAAGAGTAATAGTAGGACCTACCGCAAGGGACTCGTGATTTTCAAAAAAGGATATCCCATTGTTCGAATGTGGCTGTGGTAGGAGTATGGGTACCCTTCAGCATCACTCGCTCCGCGGATCCTAATGGGCTTCTGTTGCAGAGATAAGCCATATTATGTCAGCGCTATGGCGATAGTTCAAACTACTGTTTCTACCGCGAGTGAATTTCTCCTTGGACCGCCGGCGCCGTCCAACGGCACTAGCCTGAACGATGCTTCACGCAGAGATTAAATCGGTACTCTTACAGTGGACTATAAGGGGATGATTTTGGGGATCCATCATCAGTACGTAGCACATGCAATGCTTGCAGTTGACCTGCTCAGCACGAGCTTTCTGCTCTAAGCCAGTAGCTCTGCGTACGCTTGCTCCGGTTGCTGCCAAGAACAGACCTTTTAGTTTTCATGCCCTGAAATCACCCACATCATTGCTGTACCTTTGGCCATCGACTTTAAAGATGACCTTCAGAGCAGTCGGGCAAAGGACGAGCAAGCTGTACAACAAGAAGGACAAGGAAGGCAAGAAGATGGAGAAGGCAGTTCGAGAAGCAGGATTTAGGGCTGCAGTTTTTTGAGCTCCTGACGTGTCATGAGGAGGAAGAGGAGTTGCAAACCTACAGGGCCCAAACCTAACAAGAAGCTTGGTTTTGGGATTTGATCTCCCCTCTTTGAAGGTATGATCTATTGTTGGTCCTATTTGGTGAGGCCTTGCAAGAAGGGTTCTGGTATCTTGGGGTATGTCAAGAGGACACTCAATTTTTCAAAGATATCGATAGGGGTAGATCCTATTTGAACCTGTACAACCTCCATATATCCCTGTATAACCCTTATTCCAGCTACGGAGATAGTTTCCATGAACAGGGGAAATCTTTGTATATCAAAAATGCACCTATGTAGGGGTATAAGGAACAATGGAAACATGGAAACTACCGTATGATGTAGGGTTTAGGGATATCACCCCAGTAATGGAGAACCAAATAGACAACCAAGTGGAAAATGACTGGAAGCTAGTAAATGTAGTGTTATGTTTTAGGAGGACCCCACGCACCCTGTAATAGTATGTAATAGGAATATAAGAAGGTGCTAATACATTCACTATTACTGGGTGGTTGGTCCACCTAAGTTATGTTGATTATGTTTGGGTGTTGCCTGGTCTGGGCCTAGAGACGAAGCAGAGGTCTGGCAATTGGATTTCATGTTTTGATATGAGCTATAGTCTAAACTCCTCCAAGAGGCCTATATAGGGAATAGATGGGGGAGTATTATAGGGGTTATTAAGGCGGATAGTAGTTGTTTAGACTATAGCTCATATGGTCAACATCCAGTCAGCATCCTCCTGAGAGCTGGAGTGATTCAGGACTTTTTTTAGCTAATGTCGCATGTCGCTTGTTAATTTTGAGATCCTTGTCATTTTGGCTGCAGCATGTGCCATCCAGTACCTGTTGAGAAGGCAGGGAGGTCTTGACTACGTCTAGCACATGGTTGGAGGGCTGGAGTCCATGGCATTGGAAATAGCAACTGATTCCCACCACGACCTGGAACCTGAAAGCAGACCACCACCCCAAGCCCCTTAGCTGCTAAACCCTGGGCTGTTGTCCCGAACCGTTAGTCCTTTCGGAGCCCAACATCAGGTTTGATTAAGCGGGCTTGCTGCCACCTGAACCAACCCCGCACCACGAAACCTCAGTAATCCCGATCTCAGGGCGTTGCTTTCCCGACCTGCATCTCGGTCAACGAGATCGTGGGTCACTTCTCCCCGCTCAGGGTGCGGGTCTGAAGTGTTTATAGGCTGCATGTCAGGGCCCATGCCCTTTAAAAAATGCACTTGTAGCAAAATGATCCATTGGAAGCCCTTGCTCAGGGAGCTGGTCCCCAAGGCTCAAGGATCCTCCTCCAGAAACGTGTTTTTTCTGTTACAGGGACCTGCAATGCTAACACCTCAGTCCTTGAATTGGTCATGGCACAACCTAGTTAGGCCCTTGCCTGGCAGCTAGCCACTAGACATTGCAAGGCCTGCAATTGCAAGTGGGGGCGTTCTCCTTTTGCAAAACATCAGGTAGTTCTTGGGCATCATATTTTCTCACTAGCCGGTTTGCAGAGGCTGGGGGTTGGGTTTCAGCTATGTCTGGCAACTAGCAGCAAACGCTCAACTTGGGGCGCCCGACCAAGTACAGAGGGAGATTTGCTCCACGCACCATGGGCGAGCAGTTGAGAAAGAGTTCGGTTTTGAAGCAATGCGTCTATCCAGAAGTCAACGATATGAAGCCGGGATTCTGAAATTCGACTTAAAGCCAATTCCATGGAGCCTTGATCCCTAGACGCCGAACGCTGGAGCTGGACAGCATATGGCATCCTAGACGCAATCAAGCCATCGTCATCTTCTTATGCATACTGAGCGTAAGACAGCAACGACGCCGTCAACAGCAATGTCGTCAACAGCAACATTAACATAATCATGTTATTAATATTCATCATCATCAACAACATCATCATCATCATCATCATAGCCTTCGTGGTTTAAGAAGAGGAGTTCGCATCGCTGTCATCATCACCACCACCACCACCACCACCAACAACAACAACAACAACAACAACAATATCACTGGCATGAGCAACATCAGCATCAACGTCAGCATCACCACCACCACCACCGCCGCCGCCGCCACCGCCACCGCCACCGCCACCGCCGCCGCCGCCGCCGCCACCACCACCACCACCACCACCACCACCAAGAACACCAACAACACCAGCAACACCACCACCACCACC